TGATAGTAAAAATGGAAAAGAGACAAACTCTAGAGACAGTCAGGAAGTAAACACAAAACTCAGCACTAGACTGGCTATGGAGGAATGTTAAGGAAGGGTCCACAGTTCTTGGACATCTGGCTTTCAAAACTGGGGAGATGGTGTCATTCTCTGCGGTAATGAAGGAAGTTTAAAGAGGCAAAGGCAGGAGTTGGGATTTGGTTTTAGACATGGCAAGTGTGAGGTGCCAAAACAAGCTTTCAATTAGCAAATGTATACATTTTATGTGCCTTTTCCAAGAATATTATGAGAAGAAAGACTTATAGGTTTGTGACTTAGGTGACTAGGTTGATGGTGTGATTAACCAGAACAGGCAACACAGGAGAAGTACATTCTGTAGCAAAGATTCATCATTCAATTTGGGACACAGTAGAAGTGAACTGCTTATAAGATATCTAAGTCCAAAACTCTGGAGAACAGTGTGAATTGGAAGAAGAGATTCAGGAGTCATTGGGATAAAGAGAGAACAGAAGCCAAGGGCACAAATGAGAGCTTCCAGTGAAACTAACTATGCACCCCCCCCAAGTACCTAGAAAGGTACAGCGTAGAGAAGAGGAGGAAAAACAAAGAAAGGAAGAGTGGAAGGGAAGATGAGTAAGTAAGAGGGGAAAAAAATGAATCAAGGGAATAATCCTAGAAAAATACCAGTATTTAAGCACCATGCAAAAGAAGCCCACAAAGGAGATCATAAAAGTACAGTTTATAATACAGAACAAGACATAGGAGGCAGTGCTGCCAAACAATTATGGGATCTGAGCATTTCGTTAAAAAAAGTGGGAGGCAACCATGAGAAATAACTAGAGAAAATTTAAGATTTTTATATAAAATTTAAATAATAGACTTGGCAATTAAATCAGTATCAAAACAATACTGGTAAGAATGCACAAATCAACAGCCCCATACACTGCAAAAATCTGAATAATTTTGAGAAAGTGCAATGGCAAAACCTGTTAAAATTAAAATAAATACTCATTTACTCAACAATTTCACTTTCAGGAATCTATCCTTAGAAATAAGAGCACCAGTATGTAAGGATATATATACAAGGATGTTCATTACAGCACTGTTTATGGTGGAGGGAAGGGAGGATCTAGAACCAATCTGCATGTCCAAACATCAGAGAAACAGTTAAACAAATCATGGCATATTGAAATAGTAATGCAGCCACTTAAAATAATGAACTACAGCTAGAGCTACTGACCTGGAGGACTGTTCATGATGTACTATCATTTGAATAAAGTAAACTGCAAACTATTGTATAAGGTACATGCTTGTTTTGTAACCCTAATTTCTGTAAACCCAAAATACATGTATATATTTGCATATGTTGCATGAGCATGGATACAGTTGAGAAAGGATATACAATAGGCTTTAACATCAAGTAATTTCAGGAAAGTAAGACATGAAATAAAAAGAGGATGAGGCAATTGTGAACTTTTTTCCTTCATATGTTTACACTATACCACTGAGGTGAACACACACAACCTTTTCAATTTTTGAAGAGGAATTTCATAGTGTTTAAAGATTGGTGGCAAAACAGTTCTGATTAAAGGACAAGGACAAAAATTACATGGCAGCATATATTCGTAAGTATATGGGAAGTTAACATGGGAGTGTCAATTGCTCTTTCAAGGAGTCTAGCAAAAAAGGAGAAGCTATAGCACAGAATTTAAAAGGGAATACAGGCCAAAATAAAGAGAACTGGGCTCACGACACAATACCAAAGAGTTGTAGATGGAAAAGGAGAGGATGATATTATACACAACTGATTAAGTATATCTCTGAGGAAACAGAAATGGATGCCCTCTACTTCATAACATTCCCCAATTCCCATTACAAAAAACATAATCATGCCAAAAAGCATTCTTTCTTAAAAATCCTCGAAGAAATCTGATAATTTAACTTACTATATATTACTGGACAACTTCCAAAATATCTTGTAAAAAGATTTATATCCAACGCAGCACTAGAAAGAATTAGTTTCAAAGTTGGGTGCTTTTGCAACAGATCTCTTAACTTTGTAAGTAAAACATCGCTAAATCGATCCCTTTCATGTACTTCATCCTGCAGTAAGCAAACAAACAAACAAGGAACAATTAAAATATTAAGGATACCAAGTCTTTAAAATTGTGGAGCTACTGGGTTTTATACTAACTCAAATTAAATATGGACAAGGCAAATAAGTGAAAGTTCTGTCTTATGGACAATTCAGAAATAATCAGACATTAACAACCTGTTGTGGGTAACAAAGCACTGCCCTTTCTTTCACAGAATATAAAACCACACAAACTATAATAAATTCTGAATTAGTGGTGCCTAATTTAAAGTACTTTGATATATGCAAAATCTATTTAAATATGCTTCTGTTAGCATCACGGTTCAGGTGAACCCTTGTACAAAATTAGTAAGTTTCTAAAAGCTACTTATAGCAAGCTTATAACAACTTAACCTAATTTTTCTCAGACACAAACTGGATAAAAGCTTAAAATTATTTATAAGTCAGTTGATCAGTTCATATACTCACTTGATCAGCAGCTAGTTAATTTAGCAGCTTAACCATGAAGTTAAATTACTATAAAGTATGCCCCAAGACTGGGAAATAACATGTTAGCTAACAGGAATCAGATGACTAAGGCAGAAAAAAAGAAAACTTTCACCATTCTGGAGAACTCTAAGTAAATCTATCATTTTCATAAACAAAAGGCACTTATTTAAAAGCTACGTAGTTATTTTATTTTTCCTCATAAAACCTGATAGTAATAACTTTATTTAATACAAAGCATTTATTTCTAATAACTATAGGGAATAAGAAGTAACTTGATTATAATAACCTGTTCAAAAACACAAAATGATTCATTTATACCCTATCCTAAAAACAATGATATATTTAAATTTTAAGCAATCTGAGTTATTTATGACAAATTCAGCAATATTCTTACCATAATAACATGTGTCACAGTTGACAATGTACTGTCTCCTGCCATCAATGTACGAAGCAATACCCCATTAGTGCAAAATGTCAGAAGTGTCTTTGGAGAAACCCTTTTTAGAAAATAAAAATAAAGTGCACAATTACAAATCTTATATGTAATTAAAACATGATCACATTAAATGCTAGTCTCAAATGTACTTCAATAAACGTTAAAGTTATTAATAGTGTACTGGTATGTATGCTTTCTTAACAAAGTTATGGAAATATGTACTTTACGCCTGACAATCTCACAACATTTTTATTACCAACAGCCTTTCATTAATTGATAAAAGAACCATAGATTTTTTTAAGACCTTAAATATTTTTTACTTGAGAAAAAATATATATCATAAATGAGATCAGTTTTTTGAATTACTGTATCCAAACTATTGAGAACAAAGCAATAGTACTACTTAACAAGAAGGTACGACTACTACTAAAACTAATCAATTTAGTCACTAACATTTATTGATTACTTCCTATAAACTCTACACCAAACCTGTGCTCTGATGCTTTTATTAGCCCCATTTTATATGTGAGAAAACTAAGGCTCAATGAGGTAAAATAATTTGTACCTGATCATGAAACTGTAAAACGGGGTTTTTATCTATGGCCCTTACTCTTCCTTAAACTATTTATTCAAAACCACACTAAGACATAACCTCAATGTCCTGTCATAGACTTACCTGGAGCAAAATGATCATCTAACTTTTCAACTAACACATTCCCTATATTTAGTGAAATATAAATATTTAGTCTTTCCTAAGAATGATTAAAGGCGACAGGAGAATCGTCTTTACCTGCTTTCTAATCGGATCTGGTAACCAATTGTTTGCCCAATCTTTTCTTTCCTCTCTGCAGCAACTCTTTCGGCCACAGCAATAGCTGCTAATCGTCTTGGTTGAGTACAAAATATACGGCAGGGTATACCATTTTCAAAGCAATCATCTAAAAGGAACTGAGGAATCTGAAACAAAAGTTTTGAAGTACTATAAAATGACATGATTGCATATCCAGAAAACCCAAACCAGTAACAATGCAAAAAGTATTAGAACTGAAAAAGTTCTGTAACATGTCCACACATAATATATTTGTAAGATCAACAGCTTTCACATAACTAATAATACATCCAGAAAATGTAATTTAAAAAGACCCTTTTCACACCAGTTAGGATGGCCACTGTCCAAAAGACAAGAAATAACAAATGCTGGTGAGGATGTGGACAAAGAGGAACCCGCCTACATTGATGGTGGGAATGTCAACTGGTGCAGCCACTGTGAAAAGCAATATGGAGGTTCCTCAAAAACTAAAAATAGAAATACCATTTGACCCAGCAATTCCACTCCCAGGAATTTACCTAAAATAAAGAGAACTGGGCTCACGACACAATACCAAAGAGTTGTAGATGGAAAAGGAGAGGATGATATTATACACAACTGATTAAGTATATCTCTGAGGAAACAGAAATGGATGCCCTCTACTTCATAACATTCCCCAATTCCCATTACAAAAAACATAATCATGCCAAAAAGCATTCTTTCTTAAAAATCCTCGAAGAAATCTGATAATTTAACTTACTATATATTACTGGACAACTTCCAAAATATCTTGTAAAAAGATTTATATCCAACGCAGCACTAGAAAGAATTAGTTTCAAAGTTGGGTGCTTTTGCAACAAATCTCTTAACTTTGTGAGTAAAACATCGCTAAATCGATCCCTTTCATGTACTTCATCCTGCAGTAAGCAAACAAACAAACAAGGAACAATTAAAATATTAAGGATACCAAGTCTTTAAAATTGTGGAGCTACTGGGTTTTATACTAACTCAAATTAAATATGGACAAGGCAAATAAGTGAAAGTTCTGTCTTATGGACAATTCAGAAATAATCAGACATTAACAACCTGTTGTGGGTAACAAAGCACTGCCCTTTCTTTCACAGAATATAAAACCACACAAACTATAATAAATTCTGAATTAGTGGTGCCTAATTTAAAGTACTTTGATATATGCAAAATCTATTTAAATATGCTTCTGTTAGCATCACGGTTCAGGTGAACCCTTGTACAAAATTAGTAAGTTTCTAAAAGCTACTTATAGCAAGCTTATAACAACTTAACCTAATTTTTCTCAGACACAAACTGGATAAAAGCTTAAAATTATTTATAAGTCAGTTGATCAGTTCATATACTCACTTGATCAGCAGCTAGTTAATTTAGCAGCTTAACCATGAAGTTAAATTACTATAAAGTATGCCCCAAGACTGGGAAATAACATGTTAGCTAACAGGAATCAGATGACTAAGGCAGAAAAAAAGAAAACTTTCACCATTCTGGAGAACTCTAAGTAAATCTATCATTTTCATAAACAAAAGGCACTTATTTAAAAGCTACGTAGTTATTTTATTTTTCCTCATAAAACCTGATAGTAATAACTTTATTTAATACAAAGCATTTATTTCTAATAACTATAGGGAATAAGAAGTAACTTGATTATAATAACCTGTTCAAAAACACAAAATGATTCATTTATACCCTATCCTAAAAACAATGATATATTTAAATTTTAAGCAATCTGAGTTATTTATGACAAATTCAGCAATATTCTTACCATAATAACATGTGTCACAGTTGACAATGTACTGTCTCCTGCCATCAATGTACGAAGCAATACCCCATTAGTGCAAAATGTCAGAAGTGTCTTTGGAGAAACCCTTTTTAGAAAATAAAAATAAAGTGCACAATTACAAATCTTATATGTAATTAAAACATGATCACATTAAATGCTAGTCTCAAATGTACTTCAATAAACATTAAAGTTATTAATAGTGTACTGGTATGTATGCTTTCTTAACAAAGTTATGGAAATATGTACTTTACGCCTGACAATCTCACAACATTTTTATTACCAACAGCCTTTCATTAATTGATAAAAGAACCATAGATTTTTTTAAGACCTTAAATATTTTTTACTTGAGAAAAAATATATATCATAAATGAGATCAGTTTTTTGAATTACTGTATCCAAACTATTGAGAACAAAGCAATAGTACTACTTAACAAGAAGGTACGACTACTACTAAAACTAATCAATTTAGTCACTAACATTTATTGATTACTTCCTATAAACTCTACACCAAACCTGTACTCTGATGCTTTTATTAGCCCCATTTTATATGTGAGAAAACTAAGGCTCAATGAGGTAAAATAATTTGTACCTGATCATGAAACTGTAAAACGGGGTTTTTATCTATGGCCCTTACTCTTCCTTAAACTATTTATTCAAAACCACACTAAGACATAACCTCAATGTCCTGTCATAGACTTACCTGGAGCAAAATGATCATCTAACTTTTCAACTAACACATTCCCTATATTTAGTGAAATATAAATATTTAGTCTTTCCTAAGAATGATTAAAGGCGACAGGAGAATCGTCTTTACCTGCTTTCTAATCGGATCTGGTAACCAATTGTTTGCCCAATCTTTTCTTTCCTCTCTGCAGCAACTCTTTCGGCCACAGCAATAGCTGCTAATCGTCTTGGTTGAGTACAAAATATACGGCAGGGTATACCATTTTCAAAGCAATCATCTAAAAGGAACTGAGGAATCTGAAACAAAAGTTTTGAAGTACTATAAAATGACATGATTGCATATCCAGAAAACCCAAACCAGTAACAATGGAAAAAGTATTAGAACTGAAAAAGTTCTGTAACATGTCCACACATAATATATTTGTAAGATCAACAGCTTTCACATAACTAATAATACAGCCAGAAAATGTAATTTAAAAAGACCCTTTTCACACCAGTTAGGATGGCCACTGTCCAAAAGACAAGAAATAACAAATGCTGGTGAGGATGTGGACAAAGAGGAACCCGCCTACATTGATGGTGGGAATGTCAACTGGTGCAGCCACTGTGAAAAGCAATATGGAGGTTCCTCAAAAACTAAAAATAGAAATACCATTTGACCCAGCAATTCCACTCCCAGGAATTTACCTACAGAAAACAAAATCCCTGATTCAAAAAGACATATGCACCCCTTTGTTTACTGCAGCACTGTTTAAAATAGCCAAGATATGGAAACAACCTAAATGTCCATCTGCAGAGGAATGGATAAAGAAGATGTGGTAGATACACACAATAGAATATTATTCAGCCAACCATAAAGAGAAAAGAAATCCTCTCATTTGCAACAACTGCAAGTATTATGCTCAGTGAAATAAGTCAGGGGGAGAAAGACAAGTACCAAATGGTTTCATTTATTTGTGGAGTATAAAAACAAAGCAAAACAGAGGGAACAAAGTAGACTCATAGACACCTGGGGGGAAGGTTGAGGGGAGGAGGAAGCGGCTTAAGAGGCACAATAATTCACAATCACAATATAGGTCAATGATGGGGACAGTAGTACAGCACAGAGAATACAGTTAATGACTCTGTAACATATTACTACATTGATAATGACCACACTAGAGGGGGTGACGATTTAATAATATGGGTAACTGTTGAACCACTGTGTTGTATATTTGAAACCAACATAAGGTTGCATATCAACGATATTTCAATGAAAAAAAATACCCTGTTCACAATAGCAGCTAAGCTAAAATATGGAAAACCAAATTCATAAAGAAATAGTTAAGGATTACAAAAAGAAGACTATAAAATACTACAGAAAAGCATAAAATATCTGAATATATAAATATGACATTCTTGAATGGGAATAATCAATATTGCAAAAATGTCAACTCTCCCTGTATTACTCTGTAAAGTCAATGAAACAACAATCAAAATTTCACTGTGATTTTTTTAGTCATGAAAAAATAGCCTAATAGATTGCAGGTACTTTTCTGTACGTAAATTCAAACAGGCCAGAAAGATTTAAAATAAAAAGTAAAAGTCTTCTCTAACCAATATTCCTCAACCAATATTCCTCCCCATAAAAGCAACTACTGTTAGCTTCTTATGAAATCTTTCAAGGAAAAAAAATGTTTATACAATTTAGAATATTGATTATATAAATAGGTTTTTATTCACACAAATTATTACACTTAATGTTTCTAATTTTCATATTTTGCTTAACACATCAGATCTACCTAATCCATTTTAACAGATGAATATTCCATTCTAGGGATGTGCTATAATTTAACAGATACAGCTACACATTAAATGATTTCCAGTTTTTTTAGGTTATTATTGATGCTATTGTTTGCTATTATAGAGACTGCCACAGTGAAGAACATCTATCTTCACATACTTTTGCAAAGAAAAATATAAATAAATATATATCCTAAGCTGAAGAATATCTAAGTTTAATTTGGGTAGGAAATTACCAAATCATCCTCCAAAACAATTTATACTCCTACCATCAAAGCAGAAAATGCTGTTTTCCTACCACATTGCAAATACTGGATATCAGTTTTTTAATTTCTACCAATCTGATAGTTGAAAATAATTCTTTCATTTTAATTTCTTTGAGTGAGAGAGCACCTTTACATGCATGTCTTAGCCTCTAGGATTTTTTTTAACTTGACTAGTTCATCCAGAAACATAATTGAACACAAACTAAGAAATATTTAAAAGGAAAAGACAATGAAGAGGAGTATTATGCTACATACGATAAAACTACAAAAAAGCAAAAGTGGGATTCTGGTACAGAAACAGATAAAGACATAACAAAAATTCCAGAAAAATGCCCAGGTATTACAGAAACTTAGTATTTGATCAAAAATGGTATTATAAATCAGAGTGGAAAGGATAATTAAAAATTATATTGGAACAACTAGATAGTAATATGAGGAAAACAGTAAAATTTCTACCTAGTATGATAAAATTGAATAAATTTTGGATGGATTTTTAAAACTACAAATATGTAAATATTAGAGCAAAAAAGATATTTTAATCTTGGAAATAATTTTGTTAGCATGGCTCAAAGTCCTAAAAAATAGATTGAAGATTTGACTAAACAAGAATGCAAAACCACTAAAACAAGATAGCACAAACAAAGCTAAAAACCAAACAAAAAAATTGGGAGAAATTATTTTTAAGATCTCTAACAGAAAACAGGCATGTATCCATAATACATAAAGAACTATTAAATATAAATCAAAAATTGTTAAGCCAAAAGAAAAGTAAGGCATAAATAAGCAACTCGAAATATTAATAGATAGTAAGCAAATGAAAGACTACTCAACGCTAAGAATCAAGAAAATGCACATTGAAACATTATTTTTTGCTTATAAGATTGATAAAGGTAAAAAAAAATTATATCCATTGTTGCCCAAGCTTTAGGGAAATGGGAACTTTGAATATATTCAATACTATTTTAATACAGTAACGCTTTTCTGAGTTAACAAACAATAACTAGTTAACTTAGCCATTAAAATTTTAACGGCTACATTCTTGATCCAGCATTTCCACTTCTAAGAGTTTATCCTATTAAAATACTCCCACATAGTAGCAAAGAAATATTACGATACAACCTAAGAATTCTAAGTACAACAATATGATTCCTGCCCTGCACTTCCTAGCTATGTGAACTTGGATTATCTGTAAATTTTAGTTTTTATTCCTCATCTGTAAAAAGAGAAAATAAAGATCCTACATATGTTGGGAATTTTCAGAGGTTTAAATGAGATTACTCTTGTAAAAGTCTAATACACAACAAATTGTCATTTTTTATCATTGTTACTATAAAAATTTTCAGCAATAGTATAAAATTGCTTTAAAAATAAGCACATCTGTAGGTACCAACATAGAAAAATACACAATACATATTAAAAGAAAAAAAGCAAGATGCAAAATGTCTGTATATTATTCTACCTTTGTGTTAAAAAAAACTGTGTATCAGTGCTATGAGGAGAATAAAAACAAAACAAAGACACATGTTCCCACCACGCAAAAAAAAAGAACAGAAATACATACTTCAAGTTTCTGATGGAGAAAGTAGCAAGAGAATTATAAATATTTCACTTTCTACGTACTATATATATTCTTCTATTAAATGTTTTCTATAAGGTCTGAGTTTTACACAGTGAATATGAATAATGAACATGAAAATTCAAAAGGCACTTAACTTCCTAAATACCTAATGACAATATGAAACTTACTGATATTAACTTCAAATTGTTATATTTATATTTCATAGAACAGAAACATTAGTCATTTAACTCCTTGAACAAGATACAATTATTTAAATTTAAGCCCATTCTATTAAGTATCTTTTTGAAAAGCAAAGAGCATAATTAAATTCTCAAATTTCTTCTCATACCTAACAAAATGATATACATACATAATTGTGAAAATAGATATATATAATTCCAATATATAAACATCATGAGGACATTCAAATAATTTTAATAAAAACATATTTATTATATTAATCAAAACTTCCATCCACCACCAAAAGACAAACAGCAACAAATGCTGGCAAGGATGTGGAGAAAGGGGAACCCTCCTACACTGCTGGTGGGAATGTAAATTAGTTCAACCATTGCAGAAAGCAGTATGGAGGTTCTTCAAAAAACTAAAAATAGAAATACCATTTGACCCAGGAATTCCATTCCTAAGAATTTACCCTAAAAATGCAGGAGACCAATTTCAAAAAGACATATACACCCCTATGTTTATTGCAGCACTATTCACAATAGCCAAGAAATGGAAGCAACCTAAGTGTCCATCAGTAGATGAATGAATAAAGAAGAGATGGCACATATACACAATGGAATATTATTCAGCCATAAGAAGAAAACAACTTCTACCATTTGCAACAACATGGATGGAGCTAGAGGGTATTATGCTCAGTGAAATAAGTCAGGCAGAGAAAGACAAGTATCAGATGATTTCATTCATCTATGGAGTATAAGAACAAAGCAAAAACTGAAGGAACAAAACAGCAGCAGACTCACAGAACCCAAGAATGGACTAACAGTTACCAAAGGAAAAGGGACTGGGGAGGATGGGTGGGAAGGGAGGGATAAGGGGGAAAAAGGGGCATTACGATTAGCACACATAATGTAGGGGGGAGGGCACAGGGAAGGCAGTATAGCACAGAGAAGACAAGCAGTGATTCTATAGCATCTTACTACATTGATGGACAGTGACTGTAATGGGGTATGTGGTGGGGACTTGATAATGGGGGCAGTCTAGTAACCATAATATTGCTCATGTAATTGTACATTAATGATACCAAAATAAAAATTTTTTTTTCATAATCTCTATTTAATATAATTGGAACTGCTACAGTTAACATCTACTGGCAAAATATACTCTAATCCTAAAACAGTTATAACAATCTAAGACAACCTGACAGATTCTTTGGTGTGACTCCATGGAATTTCACTTAATCATAAAAGGACTCATGGTGAAGGAAATCTTATATATTGTCTTCAGATAAAAATTTCATCATGTTTTTAATTATTTAGTTTTACAGGCTCAGTTTTTTAGAGATAGAGTTATATTTCAGTGAAAATGGCTGAGTCCTACAAGTAAATACTTGGTAATATTCATAGTTAACCTCTCCTACCATCTTGTCTTACCTACTAAATTTATTAAACCAACCAATAAAACCACAGGAAATCTAAAGCAATTATCAAATGCAAGATTCAAATTCT